TCCCAGTCCCTCAGGGACCCCTCCCCACCCCTCAGAGCCCCCTCCCCACCCTTCCCAATTCCTCAGAGCCCCCTCCCCATCACTCCCAGTCCCTCAGGACCCCTCCCCACCCCTCAGAGCCCCCTCCCCATCCCTCCCAGTCCCTCAGGGACCCCTCCCCACCCCTCCCCACCCCTCAGAGCCCCTCCCCACCCCTCAGAGCCCCCTCCCCACCCCTCAGGGACCCCTCCCCATCCCTCAGGGACCCCTCCCCACCCCTCCCCACCCCTCAGGGACCCCTCCCAGCCCCTCAGGGACCCCTCCCCGTTGCTCCCAGCCCCTCAGGACCCCTCCCCACCCCTCAGAGCCCCCTCCCCACCCTCCCAGTGCCCCCAGCACCCACCGGTGCCGTACTGGTACACCTCGACAGGCCGGTTGTACATCTCGGCCATGGCCTGCATCTCGATGTGGTTCCCGTGGCACGTGCTCTTGCGCTTCCGGTTGATGTAGGTGGTGAAATCCTCCGTCACGTAGTTGGAGAAGTAATCGGCGTTCTTCATCTGGGGACATTGGGGACACGGGATATTGGGGACAGCGGGACAGGGGACAGGGGGGATGGCAGGGGGACAGGAGGGGGACAGGGGGGACAGGGGACATTGGGGACGGGACAGCTGAGGGACACAGGGGACAGCTGGGGACACGGGACAGCTGGGGACGGGGGGGATGGTGGGGGGACAGGGGACACACAGGGGACATTGGGGACACGGCACGCTGGGGACAGGGGGGACAGCGGGGACAGGGGACAGCTAGGACGGCGGGGACAGCGGGGATGGTGGGGGGACAGGGGACATTGGGGACATGGGACAGCTGGGGACAGCGGGGACAGCTGAGGGACACACAGGGGGCACTTGGGACACTGGGGACATGGGACAGCTGGGGACATTGAGGACATTGGGGACACCTGGGGACACACAGGGGACATTTGGGACACAGGGGACACCTGGGACAGTGCGGACATTGGGACATGGGACACACAGGTGACACCTGGGGACACGGGACATTGGGGACATTGGGACATTTGGACATTGGGGACACACAGGGGACACTTGGGGACATGGGACATTGGGGACACTGGAAGAGGGGGGAGGGAACAGCAGCCGCTCCCGCCAGGGCTCCGAGCACCTCCCAGTCCATCCCAGTCCCCCCCAGTATAACCCAGTTCCCTCCCAGTTCCCTCCCAGTCCCTCCCAGTCCCCCCCAGTCCCTCCCAGTCCCCCCCAGTCCATCCCAGTCCCTCCCAGTCCCTCCCAGTCCCATCCCAGTCCCTCCCAGTCCCTCCCAGTCCCTCCCAGTTCCCTCCCAGTCCCTCCCAGTCCCCCCCAGTCCCTCCCAGTCCCCTCCCAGTCCCTCCCAGTTCCCTCCCAGTCCCCCCCAGTCCCTCCCAGTCCCTCCCAGTCCCTCCCAGTCCCTCCCAGTCCCATCCCAGTCCCTCCCAGTTCCCTCCCAGTCCCTCCCAGTCCATCCCAGTCCCTCCCAGTCCCTCCCAGTCCCCCCCAGTCCCTCCCAGTTCCCTCCCAGTCCCTCCCAGTCCCCCCCAGTCCCCTCCCAGTCCCCCCCAGTCCCTCCCAGTCCCTCCCAGTCCATCCCAGTCCCTCACCAGGTAGTCCATGCAGTGTTTCCTGACCACCTCGTGCATGTCCTGATCTCCGTACACCTGATCGGCTGTGGGGGAGGGGCAGGTGACAATGGGGGATGGGCAGGTGACAATGGGGGATGGGCAGGTGACAATGGGGGACGGGCAGGTGACAATGGGGGGGGGACAGGTGACAATGGGGGGGGACAGGCAGGTGACAATGGGGCGCACAGGCAGGTGACAATGAGGGGTCTGTGGGGGGTCTGTGGGGGATTTTTGGGGGGATTTGGGGCAGTTTTGGGGCTCACCCACGGCCCGGAACAGACAGGCCCCGTCCTCCTTCATGCGTTTGATGATGAATCCTTTCTTCTCCCGCAGCGCCTTCTCGAACCGGTGCTCCTGCTGGAGACACAGCCGGGCTCGGGGGGTCCCTCGGGACATTTGGGGGTCCCTCGAGACATTTGGGGGGTCCCCCGGGTCATTGGGGGAGGGTACGAGATGGGGGGAGCAGAGAGACCCACAGGGGATGAGGGGTGGGGGTCACAATGGGGGGAAAAATGGGGGTTGGGGGGGGTTCTTGGGGCTGGGGGGGTCCTGGGGGGTCCCTCGGGACATTTGGGGGTCCCTCGGGACATTTGGGGGGTCCTTGGGGGTCCCCTGGGTCATTGTTGGGGGGTACGAGATGGGGGGAGCAGAGGGAGCCACGGGGGATGAGGGGTTGGGGTCACAAAGGAGACAAAATTGGGGAGTTCAGGGGGGGTCCTTGGGGCTGGGGGGGTCCCTCAAGGACTTGGGGGGTCTGGGGGGGTCTTGGGGGTCCCCCAAATTATCTGGGGGGGGGTACGAGATGGGGGGAGCTGAGGGAGCCACAGGGGATGAGGGGTGGGGGTCACAACGGGGGGTTCAGGGGGGTCCCGGGGGTGTCACCGAGAGGGGACACCGGGAATTGGGGAGGGTCCCGAAGTGGGGGATGGGGCAGCCAAAGTGGGGACGATTTGGGGACGATTTGGGGACGATTTGGGGACGATTTGGGGACAAACTGCGGCAAAACCGGGACGGCAACAACCCCGCGGGGGGGGGGGGGCGGCAACGTCGGGGACACCGAACCCCGGCAGGACCCCCGGTGCCCCCCCCAGTGTCCCCCCGGTATCTCCCGGTGTCCCCCCCGGTGTCCTCGGTTTCCCCCGGTGTCCCCTCGCTACTCCCGGTGTCCTCTCATGTGTCCCCCCGGTGTCACCGGTGTCCCCCAGTCCTCCCCGATGTCCCCCCCGGTGTCCCCCCGGTATCTCCCGGTATCCCCGTCCCCCCGGTGCCCCCGGTCCCCTCACTATTCCCGTTCCCCCCGGTGTCCCCCCGGTTCCCCCGGTCCCCTCCCGTGTCCCCGGTCCTCCTCGCTATTCCCGTTCCCCCCCAGTATCCCCGGTCCCCCCGGTGTCCCCGCCGTTCTCCCCGGTATCCCCCCGGTGTCTCTCCCCGATGTCCCGTCGCTATTCCCGGTCCCCCCGGTCCCCCCCGGTTCCCCCGTTATCCCCCCGGTGTCACCCAGTGTCCCCCAGTCGTCCCTGATGTCCCCCCGCTATCTTACGCTGTCCCCTCGCTATTCCCGGTGTCCCCGTCCCCCCCGTTCCCTCCCGGTGTCCCCGTTCCCCCCTGGTATCCCCGGTGTCCCCTCACTATTCCCGGTCCCCCCGGTCCCCCCGGTGTCCCCCGCCGCTCTCCCGCACCTGCTCGGCCATGGCCGGGTCCATCTCCGCCCGTCCCGCCTCGTACTCATCCTCGCTGTTGCAGCCGCCGCCCGCCTCGTCGCGCCCGGGGCTGCCGCAGCCGGGGCCCAGCCCCAGCCCGAGCGCGATCCCGCCGCCTCCCGTTCCCGCGGGGCCGCCGCCGCTGGGCCCGGCCCCGCCGCGCCGCCGCCGTTTGCTGTGCCCGGGGCCGCCGCCGCCGCCGCCGCCGCCGCCGCCGCCGCCGGGCCCGCGGGGCTCGGGCAGCCCCAGCGCCGCCGCCTCCAGCCCGAGCAGCGCCGCGGGGCCGTCGGCCGAGCCGGGCCCGCCGCTACCGGCACCGCCGGGCCCGGCGGGCGGGGGGGACCCGGCGGCCGCGGCCCAAACCCGCAGCGGCGGCGGCGGCGAGGCGCGAGGCCGCGGCCCCCCCACGCCGCCGGGGCCGCCGGGCTCGCCGACACCGCCGGGGCCGCGCTCGGGCCCCGCGTCCGCTCCGCGCTCGGGCCCCGCGTCCGGCCCGGAGTCGCCGTCGGCGTCGGGAGCGGGGACCGGTTTCTTCTTGGGGAGGATCGTCATGGCGGGGCGCGGCGGGGCCGGGCGGCGGCGGCGGCGGCGGCGGAGGGGCCGCCCCGGCGCTGAGGGGCTGCGGCCGCCGGGGCCGTGTCAACATCAACAGCCGCCACCTCCGACCCCGCGCGCGCTTCCGCCTCGCCCGCGGCGCGCCGCGCCATTGGCTGCCGCGCGGAAAGGAGAGCGCTGATTGGTTCGCAGCCAGGAGGAAGTCCCGCCTTTCTTCTCCGCCGCCTCCGTGAGGGGAGGCGGGATGGGCGTTGCTATGGGGATGGAAGGGGAGAGCGCGGATTGGGTGAGGCGGGGAGGGAGGGGTGGTGATTGGTGGGTTTTGGGGGACGGAGGGGAGGGGGGAGGGAGGTGATTGGTTGGTGGAGGTGTCGGTTGAGCGGTGAGGGGCGGGGTGGATCGGTGTAAACGTGAGAGCTGATTGGGTGATGACACGTCAATCATCGCTGGGCGGGAGCAGCGGGGAGACGCCGAGCGCTGATTGGCGCTGGCTTAATCCCCGCCCACATCGCCATCTTATTGGCTACAGCAAACGACCTAATTTCCTATTGGCTCAGGCGCGGCAGGGGCGGAGCCCGCTTGGATCCCGCCCCTTTGATAGCCCCACCCCCACCTGTCAATCACCCACAGGCCCCGCCCCTTCCCCGCCCTCCCACGTGGGCCGACCCCCCCAGGACCCCCCAAAAACCCCCAAAAACCCCCAAAAACCCTCCAGGACCCCCCAAAAACCCCCAAAAACCCTCCAGGAACCCCCAAAAACCCTCCAGGAACCCCAAAACCCTCCAGGAACCCCAAAACATTCCAGGACCCTCCCCAAAGTCTCCCAGGATCCCCCCAAAAACCCCCAAAAACCCTCCAGGACCCCCCAAAAAACCCCAAAACCCCCCCAGGACCCCCCAAAAACCCCCAAAAACCCTCCAGGAACCCCAAAACCCTCCAGGACCCTCCCCAAAGTCCCCCAGGATCCCCCCAAAACTCCCTGGGAACCCCCCAAACCCCTCAGGGCCCCCCCAAAACTCTCCGGGACCCCCCAAACCCCCCAGGGCACCCCAAAACCCCCCAGGACCCCCCAAAAGCAGAGGCTGAGCTCCATTTTCAGTTCCTTTATTAAAATCCATCCCCACCCCCAGGAACGAGGCACATTCCCACGGCAGACCCCCAAAAACGAGGCAGGGACCCCCAAAAACGAGGCAGGGACCCCCAAAACTGAGGCGGGGACCACGAGAACGAAGGCGAGACCCCCAAAAACGAGGGGGGACCCCCAAAAACGAGGGGGGGACCCCCAAAAATGAGGGGGGGCCCCCGTGGGGAACATGGGGGGGCTCCAACCGCTCTCCCTGAGCTTTTGGGGGGTCCCAAAATTCACCTCCAGGACCCTCCGGCTGCTGAACCCTCCCGTGGCGGGGGTCCCCAATGCTGAGGGGGGGTCCCCAATGCTGAGGGGGGGTCCCCAATGCTGAGGGGGGTCCCCAATGCTGAGGGGGGTCCCCAATGCTGAGGGGGGGTCCCCAATGCTGAGGGGGGTCTCTGGGGGGGTCTCTCAGTCTGGGGGGGTCTTTGGGGAGGGTCCCTCAATCTGGGGTGGTCTCAGGGGGGTCCCTCACCCCATGGTGGGGGTCCCTCACCCCACGGGGGTCTCCCCCCTCAGTGGGCCTTGTGGCGGGGCCGGTCGTGGGGGGATCTGTCATCCTGAGGGGGGTCCCTCACCCCATGGGTGGTCTCTGGGGGGTTCCCTCACCCCAGGGTGGGGGTCCCTCACCCCACGGGGGTCTCCCCCCTCAGTGGGCCTTGTGGCGGGGCCGGTCGTGGGGGGATCTCTCATCCTGAGGGGGGTCCCTCACCCAAAGGGGGGGTCCCTCACCCCAAGGGGGGGTCCCTCACCCAAAGGGGGGGTCCCTCACCCCAGGGTGGGGGTCTCTCCCCTCAGTGGGCCTTGTGGCGGGGCCGGTCGTGGGGGGGTCCCTCACCCCAGGGTGGGGGTCCCTCACCCCACGGGGGTGTCCCCCCTCAGTGGGCCTTGTGGCGGGGCCGGTCGTGGCCGCGCTGGGCCCTGGCCAGCTCCCGGCCGGCGTCCAGCAGCAGCAGGCCGGGCACGAGCAGCCACAGCGCGTTCAGCCCCACGAAGTAGCCCCAGAAGTAAAATGGCCGCGGGTCGCTGTGAGCCCAACCCGCCCGCGCCGCCGTGGCGAAGTACAGCACGTCCCCGTACAGCTGGCCTGGGGATGGGACGGCATGGGGACAGTCAGGGGGGGACGGGGACAGGGACAGCATGGGGACATGGGGACAGACAGGGGGGGACAGGGACAGACAGGGGGGCACGGGGACAGACAGGGGGGACAGGGACAGCATGGGGACATGGGGACAGACAGGGACATCAGGGCATGGGGACAGGGCATGGGGACAGGGACAGTCAGGGGGACAGGGACGGCATGGGGACAGACAGGGCATGGGGACAGTCAGGGGGGGACATGGGGACAGACAGGGGGGACACGGGAGAGGGGACAGGGCATGGGGACAGGGACAGTCAGGGGGGTATGGGGATAGGGACAGTCAGGGCATGGGGACAGTCAGGGGGACATGGGGACAGACGGGGGACACAGGGACAGGGACAGTCAGGGGGCGATGGGGACAGTCAGGGGGGCACAGGGACAGGGACAGCATGAGGACAGGGACAGGGCATGGGGACAGGGACAGACAGGGGATGGGGACGGGGACAGGGGACAGGGACAATCAGGGCAGCATGGAGACAGTCAGGGGACAGAGACAGCCACAGGGACAGGGACCGCTTGGGGACAGGGATGGGGACAGTCACACCGGGACAGTCAGGGGACAGGGACAGGGGACAGGGACAGTCAGGGCAGCATGGAGACAGTCAGGGGACAGGGACAGCCTGGGGACAGGGACAGGAACGAGGACAGGGGAGGATCAGGGACAGTCAGGGGATGGGGACAGGGACAGTCAGGGTGGCATGGAGACAGTCAGGGGACAGGGACAGCTTGAGAGGGTCAGGGACAGCCTGAAGGGGACAGGGACACCCCGAGGGGACAGGGACAGCCCGAGGGGACAGGGACAGCCCGAGGGGCACAGGGACAGCCCGAGGGGCACAGGGACAGCCCGAGGGGACAGGGACAGCGACAGGGACAGGGACAGGGACAGTCAGGGGACAGGGATGTCCCCGCGCCGTACCCAGGGACACCACGAGCTGCAGCACGAAGCGCGCCGGGTGCTGCCGCAGCAGCGCCAGGAAGGTGAGGAAGCTGAGGGGACCCCAGGCCAGCGCTGTCACCGTCTCCATGGCCACCGTGAAGTCATCGCTCCTGCGGGGACACCCCGGGCTGAGGGACACCCGGGGACACCCAGGGGACAGCCACCCCTCCCCCTGTCCCCAACTCACGTCATGTAGCGGCTGTCGGCCTTGGCGTACTCCTTCCCTGCCAATTTGGGGAGGGGGCACTGGGGAGGGGGGCAGGGGACAGCCAGAGCCCCCAGGGGACACCCAGAGACCCCAGGGGACACCCAGCACCCCCAGGGGACAGCCAGCACCTGGCTGTCCCCTGCCCACCTGCCCAGGGACCCCTCAGAGGCCCCAAAGACCCCTCCCCACATATCCAGGGAACCTCCAGTGCCCCCTGATGCCCTTGGGACCCCTCCCCACATGCCCAGGGACCCCTCAGATGCCCCAGGGACCCCTCCCCACATACCCAAGGAACATTCAAAGCCTCCCTGATATCCCAGGGACCCCTCCCCACAATCCCAGTGCCCCTCCAGTGCCCCCTGATGCCCTTGGGACCCCTCCCCCATACCCAGGGACCCCTCCCCACATGTCCAGGGACCCCTCAGATGCCCCAGGGACCCCTCCCCACATACCCAGTGCCCCTCCAGCACCCCGATGCCCTTGGGACCCCTCCCCACATGTCCAGGGACCCCTCAGACGCCCCAAAGACCCCTCCCCACATACCCAGTGCCCCTCCAGTACCCCTCAGATGCCCTTGGGACCCCTCCCCACAATCCCAGTGCCCCTCCAGTACCCCCTGCTGCCCTTGGGACCCCTCCCCACATGCCCAGGGACCCCTCAGACGCCCCAGGGACCCCTCAGATGCCCTTAGGACCCCTCCCCACATACCCAGTGCCCCTCCAGCACCCCCTGATGCCCTTGGGACCCCTCCCCACATTCCCAGGGACCCTCACATGCCCCAAAGACCCATCCCCACATATCCAGGGACCCCTCCCACATGTCCAGGGACCCCTCCCCTATACTCAGGGACCCCTCCCCACATACCCAGTGCCCCTCCAGTGCCCCTTGATGCCCCAGGGACCCCTCCCCACCATCCCAGTGCCCCTCCAGTACCCCCTGATGCCCTTGGGACCCCTCCCCACATGTCCAGGGGC